TGGACCGCTTAGCGATAGAGGCGTCTAGGTACAGCTTATGTTTCACTTCGGGAAAATGTAAAACGCGGCTCCAGGACTGGCAGGTGCCTGAACCCGCGCGCACTATTGCCGGACATGTTCTGGAGCAAGTCCCTTGTTTTACTTATCTAGGGAGTTGCATCAGGGCTGGTGGCGGTGTTGGAGATGAAGTCGCACAACGGACTGCAAAAGCCCGCCTTGCATTCATCAAATTGAGACGCCTATGGCATCGTCGTGATGTCAGTCACAAGCTCAAGGGTAGGGTGTACAATGCTTCCGTCCGCGCAGTACTCTTGTACGGCTGTGAGACTTGGCCTATTCGCTCGGAAGACATGAAGCGGCTGTCAGTGTTCGACAATCGCTGTCTACGAAGGATTGCTCGGGTGTGGTGGAAACACAACGTAAGCAACGCAGAGGTGCGAGACCGCGTGCTTGGGCGAATAGTGCCAGTCTTCAGGATGTTATTCTCCGACATCGCATGCGTTGGCTCGGGCACGTTTTGCGCATGCCAGCCCATCGTCTTCCACGTCGAGCGCTATGTGCACTTCCAGGGAGCGATTGGAAAAAGTGCCGCGGTGGAGAGCGGATGACGTGAAGAAGGAGCATGAAGAAGGCAACCTCAAGTTTGGCGGCAGTCGGACCAGTCCGTCTTCCAGGTTGGGGACCACGAGATGCTGAATCGCAGTGGTTGGAAACATTAGACGTCATGACCCGCAACAGACATCAGTGGCGTCAATGTTGTTCTGCCAATTCACCATCCCTTTGATGCACACAAAAACACAAAAGGAAACAAAAAAATGCAAAATGGCGTGTGTAAAACCAAAAAAATTGTTTCCCATATTTTTTAATCGCAGTTAATGTTTCCATCTTCTTCACTTTTTTCTTCTGCCATGGTTCTGATGGCACAATGTCTGTTAACAGACTGTGAATAAATAAATAAATAAATATAATAATAATAAAGTTCTGTTCAAAGATGGAGGGAATATATTGACAAAGAAATACCATCGCTGATCACGAAGGTTTGAACTGACGAGGTTCCCACCTCATTGGGCGATTGGGTTGTTGTCCCAATCCGCAAGAAAGGCCCGCTAACTCTGCTCCAAATGAAGTGAAGTTTCGCTATTCGCTGCTGGGTCCACGATTTTTCGATCCCTTACTCCCGTGCCTTTCAGCGACAAAAGAGGAATTTTTAGGGACGAAAAAGCCGTTTTTAGTCCAGGAGGAGATTGCATCGGTCCAATCTTCACCCACCGTCAACTTTTGAACTTCGCCACGTCCATCGAGGACCAATAATCGTAGTGTTTTTAAACATTCGTAGGACGTTCAATTTGGCAGGTAGATCTGCGTTGTGGAACAGTTTACTGCAAAATTACGCCCGACAAGTCTCTAGCCATCCTGAAGGAACTGTACAGTCACACATTGTATGTATGTACGGCTCCTGTTCGTTTAATATCACCAGCAGGGTTTGACAAGGTTGACCTATTTGCTTTTTATTTCCAATTTTGCCGCCGACGATTTTATCCGACGAACAGTAGAAGGCGTAAAGAACTGCGGTTAGTGAGTATCTGGGAGTTTTATTGTGTATTTGAAAAGATTCGTCACAACTAGACCCAACCGGAAGGCCACCACACATCCAAGGAAGCGCTAGACGAGCTTTTTGTCCTATTGGGACTCATCAGTAGCACGCACTCGCTATGACTGATTTCTAAATGCGATGAATCGCGGCTCATCTACTTTCATACATGTTATGAAATTGCAGAAGACTTGGCGGTTGCCAAGATCTACAACCACTTATGCAAGCGCCACCGGCATGTTATCCGGTAAGCTGGTTACTGATTATTAGGGAGTAGTAGGGAGATTAACTGTATTTTACCAATCGGTGATACGACGCCGTCGTCCATGGCTTAACGGCATAACTCGCTGACTCGTAAGAGTAAGGTCATGTGTTCTGATCCGGCGAGTGCGCGCTGCTGAAGAGTCCCAATAGGACGAAACGGTCGGCTAGTGATTTTTTAGATGTGAGATGACTGTGTAGCTGATTCAATCTGCGACGAACCTGCGCAATAACTGCGGTGTTAAGCTACTTTCTGGTGACAGAGTCGGAGACTTAGATTACGCCGATGGCAATGCTTTTCTGGAACACGATCCATAAGCTGTCCCAAAGACTTAAGGACGGAGACATCCAAGTACAGCCTGTATATCACCCTAGTCAGATGTAAAACACTACCCCATGTTGGAAATATTTGAGTAAAGCAGTAGCTAGGGGTCTGGATGAGAGGGTTGGTCTCCGAACTGGGCGTTTCAGTTGCCGACGTTTCAGTGCCAAGGAAGACGACACCATCAGTGCGGTCTTCAAGGTCTGCATCGCAGAGCCTCATGAGCCAATGCCAGATCCGAGTGGCTATTGCTCGTATCCTGCCTTGAATGTCAGCCGTCGACTGACTCACCCGGGTCGACCAAGTGACCGCTTCTTCGCCCTCTTGGTCTGACACCTATTGCCGACTTAATGTGCTGAGCTTTGTAGACATTCTCTGGCTCCACGTGCTTGCTGATTGAGTTATGACCCGAATTCCAGGCCTCGATGAACTCACGCGCCTTTCGGCTTCTTGCTCTTCTAAGTAGCTTGACGTCTTCCAGATCTAACTGTTGGTCCTCGGCATCCATATATACTGACATTAATGATTACTCATCATGGCGGCGGATGGCCAGAGTATGATGATGAAGTCTTGTGCTGAGTTCTCCTCCAGTCTGATCCACCTAGTACCAGTCACAATTCTTGCAGGAAATTGTGAAAATCACAACTGATGTTTCTTCCTTACTCAGCTGGTCCTTTACCTTGAAAAGTCTGTTCGGAATAGCTTCCATTGCTTCATTTGCAAACTTCATCCCTTGCGGCATTAGATGTCTCGCTGCCAGCTCAGCAATTCCACTGATGTTAGAGTGGATAACTATTTTCCATTCTGTTGCAGTTGTGGATGCGAGTTGTGGCAGTTTCCTCGACATCAGGCGACGCAGAATAAAATTCCTGGGGTAGGAATTCCGCTAAAAATATTAAAGTGGCGGTCCTTCTCCGCCTTCCTCAGTTGCGTCGTTCTACACTGTGCTTTTTGCCCTTTTGGATAGGGTTCTTACACAACTGCGCTTGTAAGCGGCCGGATGGCTACTGCGACAATTCAAAATTCGACCATTGTGAATCGCTTTTCTATAGTCGGTTGTTTCCAGGGGCCCAGAATCATGTTTTATCACAAGTACGTCCAAGAATAGTAACTGGTTATGCTCTCCTCCAGAGAAAATATTACTGATTAGCTGGTGTGTTTTTGATGCTTGGAGCGTTTGTGGCTAACAAAAGTGTCGTCCACTTAGCGTACCCAATGCTTTGGCTATACGATTGGCAGTGCCTTTTGTCCCAGTGCTCGCATCACTGCCTCGACTACCAGTCCAGAGATTGACGATACCATTGGCGTGCCCATTAGCTGTTTTTAAGTTTGGCCGTTGAAAGTGACATGTGTGGGAATCAAAAATCAAGCAACTCCATCATTTACATGACTCCAATTCTGTTTTTGCATTTACAGTTCCGTGTTGTTTCAGCAGGGTCATCATTGTTTGCCTTGTCAGCTTGCTGTCAGTGGATGTGAAAAAGGCTGTAACATCAAAGACCATTATCTCATCTCTTTCTATTGTTATTCCCCTGAGTTTTCCAAGTAAACGTTCCGCCAAATGGATTGAATCAATCAACAGCTGACATTCAAGGCGGGATACGATCAAGAGCCACTCGGATCTGGCATTAGCTCACGAGGCTCTGCGATTCAGAACTTGAAAGCCGCACTGACGATGTTGCCTAGATTGGCAATGAAACGTCTGCAACTGAAGCGCCCAGTTCAGAGAACACAACAAACCTCTTAGCCACTCAATGTGCTTAGGCCCACACGCACCATTGCTGGTGAGATTCTGGAACAAGTCGCTTGCCTCACTTATGGACTGGCACCACGGCTGGTGGTGTTGGAGATGAATTTTCCTAACTGATCGCGCAAGCTTGCCTTGCACTCATCAAACTATGACACCTATGGCGTCGTCGCGAATTCAGTTTCAAGCTCAAGGTTTGGATGTGCACTACCTCCTTTTGTACGCTGCAGTTGTACGGCTGTGAGACGTAGCCTGCTTACTCGGAAGTCAAGAAAAAGTTGTCAGATTTTACCAACCGTTGATTGTAAAAGATTGTTCGTGTGTGACGACAACATTGCGTAAGCATTACGCAAATTCGTGACCGAGTGCTTGGAGCGAAGTGCCGCTGCCTCCAAAACCTCATTTTCCGACACCGTATCAGTTGGCTAGGCCATGTATTGCGCATGCGAAACTATCACCTTCATCGTCGAGAGTTGTTTGTGCTCCCCGGAAAAGATGGGATAAAGTGCCGCGGTGGACAGTCAGTGACGTGCAGAAGTAGCATGAAGTCAAGAAGCTAAGCATCAGTTGGATCAGTTGGCCTTCCAGGTTGTGAGACACGTGACACTGACTCCCGTTGGTTACAAACTCTGGAGGTTATGGTCCACAGCAGATGTCGCTGGCGCTAGTGTTGTTCTGCGGTATCGCTACCGGAAGCTCAGTGGTAGAGCAGCGGACCGGTAATTCGTGGGACCGATGTTCGATTCCCCGTCAAGGCAGATTATTGTGTGCAGTTTAATCGTGACTTCTACTTTCTACGAACATTACACTACTCACAAAAATCCACAAGTATCGTTTTATGTTTAGTGTTGGATCGAAAACCAAAAAATCTCAAAACGATGCGTGTGAAGCACAAAGCAAGTGTTTTTGTTCCACTATTAGCTTCGGTTTTGCCAGAGTTCAGATGACACGTTTAAACCCAACTTGTTAATGTATGGTTTAATATGTAAATATGTATATAATGTACCAAAAAGTGAATGTAACAAAGTTTTAACCATTCAGTCGGAGCGGGAGAATACGAACAATGCTTTACCGCTTACCTCAAGTCGATGCGGTATCTTCGCCAAGGAGCTTATTGCCAATGATAGGAGGCAAAGGCTTCTTAAGTGGGGTCGCAAGATCAACGTTGGATCCTGTTTCTGATTGAATATTGTTCTGAATTTCGTTTGATGCATTCTGGTTGTTGCTGCTTTCTTGTTGAAGGGATCCAAGCTTTTGTTGCAACCGTGTGATTACCTCTTGCTGCGCATTCAGCGTTCGTTGCGCCTGTTCATAATCCAGCCGAAGATTTGCATCTGGTCGATTCTTGCTTAATTGGTTCAGTAACTGTCGGGCAGTTTCGCCCTGTTTACGATTGAGGCCCAGAGTGGCCTCCAGCTCGGTGATACGGTTGCGACATAGCTTGAGTTCCTGTCGTAGGCTGTTGATTTCAGCGATCAAGCTAACATTTTCCTAGATAGTTTGCATCGGGAGTAGGACATCAGATGGTTTTTAGGCTGTTACCACCAACAGATTTTCAGATTAAAAATGGATTTACCCCTATGCATTAGATATAAGTTCAAAGTAAGCATCTTGGGCCACAGACTCTTCAAAATGTGCCGGCTTTGATTTTAACCTAAACTGTCTAGTTTTTCTGGCACCGGGATAAGGGTGGATCACTGACAGCCACTTTCGCTACACACTAAATTCGAGCACCTGCAATTAGCCAAACCTGGCAAATCTCACCGCACATTTTTTAGTTACTCCATTGGCAAGGGCCTGTATAGCCACATGGAAAGGGCACTGAGAACCTCGGCAAATTCTTCTGACGCTACCACTTACTTACGGAACCATGCAACAAGCTGTGTCCGGGGAAACCACATCCGCTTAATTGTGATCTTTATCATTCCCACTTTTTAATTATGTTAGACCGGAGCCAAGTACGCTCAAACAAAGCATGTTAAAGGATTTTATGCTACTTATCAGGGTCGGTTTCGAAATTGTTTGCGTTACTCAGGCAGGGAGGCCGCTCGAACCGAGGCTATAAAGGTTAGTTGCCGATGCGACTATTCCTGAACGTGACCGCAAACCAAATTAAGCATAAACAAACAACTACTTGACACCTTAATACATTGGTACTAACCGTCAGTGGTTGTTGGAACACTCGAAGGACAATAGTCCGGGATGGAGTTGTAGTGAACAATAACGAATTGGACACGTAACTTGTGTGCATGCAGGTTTAGTGTCACAATTTTTGTGCCATGGTTTCAAACAGCGACACGGTAGATATAACAATGTGCGGAAATCTACCTGCATCACTCGGACGTAGCCAAGATGATGAAGCTCCGTGTCCTTTGCCAGCTTCTTACGCAGTCCGGCGATCGATCGTTCCAAATGTTCCCTTTGTCTGGCAAATTCTTTTTGAATATCAGAATCAACGCTCGCCTCACCGGTCTCAAGGAAGAACGCAGTGAAAGCAACAATTTAATATCATATGTGCAATTTATGAAACGATTCTACTGGAAGCTCAACCTCTATCACTAAAAAACGGTAATCTTGCAAAGACTGTTTGCTAACATATTACCTATGTTTAACCAAGGTAACCTATTGTTGGAGGTCGGAGGATGTGTTCTCAATCCGCAGCAAACGCCCAGAAGATGGCCCCCATAAATTCACACGACGAATCGGATGCTATGGTCAAGGTTAGAGTGAAGTTACTGTCGATAACTGCATCAACCAAAAGCGCTTACCACCTCGTATAACACGAGTGATCCGCCATTGAAACGATATTGGGTTACCAGTTTTTTGGCTACAATAGAAAGCACTCTATTGTATGCAACCGAATTAAGAGTGTCGGGCAGTTCCTCACTCATTGATGTATCTAAACTTCAAAGCGCTCAACTCCTTCGTTTATCCCAACATAAAGCACACACACAGGTGCCACAATGCCCATGTCCGGGACGCAGTCAGCCTACATCCCCATTTAGTGTAAATAAGCCGGGAAACCCTTTATTCAGAAAGACGAGTTCTACATGGTGGTCTGCCAACGTCAGGACACCACCCAAACACTTGCTGTTGAACAAGTGTAGTGAACATGGTCTCCTGTGATATGAGATGTGACGCAGCCCTCGCAAATCTTTGGTTACCGTCTGTGGAGGGGTTTTAAGCACGACAAACTCACACTTCTGAAGGGTCGCAGGACGGAACGGCATGGCCCAGCGCATGTGCCTTCTTCTTGTGGGGGCGAAGCGACGAATCACTGTTCGAATTACATTCGTTGTCCTGCAACCGTTTTCTGCACTCTAGGCCCCTGTTGCTGTGTGCATCGGTGTCCGTGCTAATGGGATGCGATCTCATGAGCTTATTCAGAGTTAATTCGTTGTAGGTTTCACCATGTCGCCTCATTGTGTATGACAGAAGCCTCTCCCCTTTTCCTGCAGGCTTGTGATCCTTAAGATCACAGGCCGGTATGGAAAAGGGGGTTGATATCGTAGCCTATGGTTATGGAACTTAAACATACGATCATTAGCTTAGGTTTGTTCCACCATTACAAGCGCTGTATTCCTTCCGTCTTAATATACCACGTCACATAGGCCATACTACTAGCTAGGCCAGATTACTGAATCTTCCTTTGATTAAGCAATGAAATAGTCCTAGCATAATCTGGTGCTCACCACGGAGTTTTTCCCTAGTAGAGGCGTAAGGGAAAGACAAACTTCTTAAGAAGTATTCTTCACTCAACACACTGTGAGGGTTTTCTATTTACTGATGACGGAGTAGCAATAATAACGATGCTGATGTTGCTGATGATGATGATCAAAAGTGAGCATAAACGTGATGGGAAAATTAGCAGATGCACAGACACAAGCCCAAAGTGTCAGTGGTTTATCGGAGAAATTGCTATTTGAAATACCAGGCGGAAACCAATACCACCATGGAATTATCAACAGTTCCATCCGTATATGTTCTCGTGTTTGACAAGCTAGTGGCATAAATGTCAAGTCTGTGGTAGCTCTAATCAGTGATATCATCACAGTAGAAATGATGAGATGAGCTCATCAACGTCCAGCCCAACTCCAAATCTCCTTACTTAAGTACTTCGAATGTATTGAAACAGCACTCGGCTTCCCTAATTGGACTACAGTATGTTCCACTGAAACCCCTAATCCGAAACTACTTACCATGAGAAATATTCCTTTGCACCTCAGTCGAACCAACGGAAGCCAGTAACCTGCTTCGGATGGCCTGTTGTACACACATCACAATAGCTGCGTAAACGAATTTCGTGAATCAAAATCAGAGCGGAGCAATGCCTGTGTGGAAACTCCTGTTCATCTGGAAATATGTCCATAGTCAGATCAAATCACACTTCATGTAGTGTATATTGACTCAATCTCAAGTCATTAAGGTATAACCATTATTGCTGGTACATACAGTTTACACTCGTCGGTTGTATACATATAAGGTCCAAACAAGCACCAATATCATCTGGGCTCTGTCAGATTGTGTATACAACATGGAAAACTCGGTGCGCAAAATAAGTGCTGTTATTCAGCAGTTTTCTCAGTTGGTGCTTCAAGTTTTCATTCTTCTTTCCCCAACCTTGCTCATTATTGCCTGATGTGGAACAATGTCTGCTTAGGATCTATTGGTTCATCGTACTATTAGGAATGAAGATCCATTATATGGAGCTGTCAGTGTAGTCTGCATCCAGTAAAACGAGCTTTTGGCGGTCGTTCCTCTTATTCTGCTTTGAACGACACGACACCGATGTTCCTGTGTTGTGCGATATTTATATTACGCCCACCTTCGACTCTGGTGCGATTCATCCGTAGACAACTGTGTGTTTGGTAGTGCTCAATTGCGCACACAGTCTGTGCATTTATTATCCAGACCCAGTACTACCCTGCAATGTTTGGCACTAAATTCACGAAGTTGTGATGGTCAGGTGACCAACTCCATGTTTCACATCCGGAATACTACCGATATCCTCTTAGTGCGAGTACCAGTACCGAAACTGACTTCACTTACGTCTTATCTATTGTATTGCTGTATTTGGCTTAAAGCCGAATGACCAAACGTGTGTTAACGCATAGAACGTACATTCGGTGTGACCATACCCGATGTGCATGCTGGCAAGACGCTTACGTGTAGCCACGATTGTCCCGATTCTCGGTTCACATTACTATGTGGAACGGTCCAGCTATATGTGGCTCAATAATGAAAAAAGTAAGCCGGTTTATGTAATTTTCCCTTCAAGATGTGATGACGCGGATGACTGGGCAACAGTGGGGCACTTCCTCGAGGGCACTTTTTCCCTGCAGATGCTACAGTTATTATCCATCCTCAGTGACAAGGAATTACAGATGCAGTACGCGGTAGACGCCTTAGATTTATGGACTATGCGCTGAGTTCGTTTCATTCTCTCAAACAATGGGAATAAAAATGTCCACGCATTGTACTTTCTTCACTTGCTTTGAATGAATCTCTATGAGACATGTAGTGAATGTGAAACATTTACGCATTCATTATTTCGCCACAATGGATTTTATGATTGTTTGCATCTTCTGACCCTCCATTTGTTTTACTGAATGCACTTGGCTTTCATTTTCGCTTTCCTTGTGAGTCAGGCGGTTCATCGCTTCGTGCTTCACCAAATGATTTCCGGTTCTTTGCAGCTCGTACGATAAACATTGGGTCCAGACGTTCTAACTGTCCCGCTACTTCCGTACTCGGCACGCCTCTTACGTGCCACCTCCTGCGACTAGCATCTGAGTAGCACTTCACACACATTCAAAGGCTCATGTTTCTGAGAAAGCCAAACGAAGCTTGACTTGGTTCATTTAGAAGCCCGTATGATTTACCTTGTCATATCGGAATTTGATCAGACACACACGAGTTATGATATTTATTCCCGTGCATTTACAACATACGACAGCAGTACAGTGTTCTAATCGAATGCGATACGTCCCTAAAATGTGTATTTCCAAGTTAGGCGGCTATGGTTGTTGGGTATGACGACACCGACATTACCATAACTTTTGCTTCTGGCAGGCTGTTCCGTTATTTCATCACACGGCAGTCGAAGTGTGGTGAGCTATCTTCTTCAGGTTCTGTACTACACTTATACTGCCTGGTGCGCGTAGATGCAGCAGTGGCCTCAGCGTAGGGAAGTCACTTAGTTAAAATCCGACGTGTCATTATGAAGTCAACGCGAAATTGAAACCAGGAAGAGTGATAACCTGTCTTCGTGCTGCATACCTGGCGAAGTGCACACTTTATCAGTCAATTGTATCCATAGCGGAGTCAAGTTCTTCGCTAAGCAAATCATGTTCCGCAATCGGTTTGCATCCTACGTGTTTGCACTCCTTTAGATGCGTAATGTTCGTTGGGTGGCTTAGTCCGAAGCAGCCAATAGCATGTCAGATGTGCGCACAGCATGGACTGCAGATGGCTGTTGAACTCAGGCACGAATGTGACATCATGGAGCGCGACACAGATTGGTCGTGTACAGGATGTGTTTAACCTTGTTCGAAACTGAAAGACAACTATGACTGTCTACACTGACGCTAGTTCCATTCAAGCTGGGAAGCACGCTCGTCAGAATCGCATGGCATTACATGTGCTTAGCGGTGGCTACGCGTAATCGTGTGTGGTTGGTAGTTGTGGTTGCTGTGCTTAGCCTTGCAGGCACTCACCCGCATATGTAAGATGTGCTATGTGTGCGGTGTTTCCGCGAGTGTGCTCGCCATCACCGCTAGGCTCCCACATGTCTGAAGCCGTGTGACATAGCCGGTTGGGTGAATTATATGACTGCCCCTCATACACCGCTGTGGAGGATCGACTGGAATGCAATTTTGGCTAGTGTTACCAAGGTGTGATGAGAGCGTGTGGAGCGCAGCGCCTTTTGGGGTGTTGCATACTCACTGAGCACAGTGTTGAGAAGCCTGAGCTTGATGGATGTGGCGATTTGATCCACTTTGTGTGAGTGCGCGCTGCATATTGTTAGCCCTGCCCTAGTTGGATGACTTGCTAGCACTCGAGTTTCACGCTAGAGTATCTGAGGTTGCACGCGCTGTTGTCCTAACTAACAGTCCGTACAAATGTGAGGCTAGGCTGTTAAAATTCCTGATTAATTTACTATGTAATGAACGATGATTTATCACGGGTTAGAAAAGCAGATGGTTGGCGTGGATACCATAAAATCCAAAGGTATGTAAGTCATCTACCGAGCGTCTACCGAATTAAGTGTCTTGCTAAATAACGTCAGGGTGAAATAAAAAGCTATGCAAGCGTACAGAGGAACACGGGGTGCAGTGATCGCTGACGTAAAGCGCGAGAAAACTAAAATATGATCGCTCACTCATGTGCCGCCTCCTTGGGTTCACGTGATATACAAATCCGGTAGAACGGCATGATCGATATATACCACAACAGCGAAGTTTAGGTAACTAAGTGCTGTGAGCCAAGAGCAACATCTAATCGTTTTTTGAAAATGTCCAAATTAGGGGGGAGGGTTCCACGGTTCACAAACCCGACGAGCTAGACGGCCGTATTATTAACTCAGATTTGAACAGTTAACTCTGAGCTTGGTCTTATGGCTAAGTTGCAGCAAATGGTGGCAAACGTAGGTGGGTTCACTCAATATCTGGTACACTAATATGCGATCATCGCGCAGCCTTCGGTAGCGTCCGCTGAAAACTCCCAGCGACTTCAGCCTTCGCTGGTAAGAGTGATTGCGTAGGCCCTTCATATTCTCTGTTGCACCACACGCGATACAGAAACATTCTAAGGCTGCGTTTTGCTTTCGGAGCTGGTTGCATCGAGTTGCCAGTATTTTCTCCGATAGCGTTTTGAGCTCGCCCTGACCCACCTTGTGACCAAGCAGTGTCACAGAAGCTTTCCCGATATGAGATTTTGACCTATTTATTCGTACTACTGAATTCGTTGTAACGTTGCTTTCAGATGATGGCAGTGCTCCGTCTTCGATTGACTATGCACCAGGATGTCGTCTCAATACATGGCCACATTCTCCAAGCCATCTAGTAGACGTAGCATCTAATGACGGAAGATGAATGGAGCACCAGACAAGCCAAGCGGCATCCGTTTAAATTGGTACCCCTTCTCGTCTATTCTAAAGGACGTGTTATCCCGTTCATCTCGTTTTATCACCAGCTGCCCGTAACCAGGTCTCAGTTCCAGTACCGTCAAAACCTTTGAGTGCTGTAGTCTCTCGAAGATGTTTGGGACTGATGACACTGGGACGAAACGACCCAACGAGATTTCATTCATCCTTCTAAAGTCGACACAATGAAAGTAACCCCCGTTAGTCTGCTTCACAAATACGATTAGAGAATCGTATGGACTGTGTGCCTCTTCGATCCTATGTGGATCCAATATGTCCTGCATTTGCTTCTTCCCCTCAACCTCAAGATGTGTTGATATCTTCCGAGACCCTTGCGGCCGATATCCCTGTCAGGTCGGCGAAGTAGTGTGCTCTATTTAGTCACAAAATCCATACATGCTTCCGTCGTTTGTAAATAGGAAGTGGGGCTTGCTGATGAGCGGCTGCAAGGGTGACAGCAACCGAGTGCTAGGTGACAGTTCCTCCACGGTCAATGAGTGGTAAAAACCCGTGTTGACTTAACAGCCTCCGTGTCTAGTCGATGATAGCGTCAAGAAAATTCGCCCTCTAGACTGCCCGCTTCGCGTCCTGCGGTTTATTAAAAATGTGTCCAGGCTACCAGCACCTTCAAGCGTCATCCAGTTAAAAAGATCTAGGCGTTTTGATCCAGACTGACCTTGGATGTTTGAATCAGGCTGAAAAGGCGTCAAAAAGGGGCAACCAAAGAAAGCGCCCCCTGAAGTATGCATTCAGATAACTCGGCCGGTCGATTTTTCCCAACTTTTTGGTGCGTACATGCGTCCATGCGTCCACATGTGGAATAGACAATTAAGTATTGATGGACCCCGACCGCACGTCATGCCATTTGCTAAAGCTCAGTCATGGCAGCAATATGAGGGGCCAAGAACAAGGTAGTAGAGCGGTAAAGTCATGCGAAAGCCGTCGGAATTTCTTTTCCCTACGTGTTTGCCAAGCACGGAATGACCTTCTGGAATCTGTCGTCTGTGCTCCCATGCTGATGAAGTTCAAGGTCAGCGTTGACTGTGTACTAATTTCGCTGTTCCATCTCACATGCTGCATTGCCCATGACCAAATACGAGTGACTGTTGCAGATTTAACTGCAGATCAGCTCCCAGAATACGTTCCATCTATTTCACCTCCTCTATGTGTTCACTGGGAGGTGACACGAGTATTACAAATGCTGCATTTGTCATCCTCCCTTGTGGGCTTGTAGTGGCTTTACAATTTTCAATACGTGCAACTCGGTGAGTCTACCGGTATAAGTTTACTTACTGACACATTTTTCCTTATTTGGTAATACTAATCATGACCATCTTACGGGAACTGGTAAGCCGTAGCTTTTTACCCATATTAAACCATTGTCCCATTGTTCTACGATTCTAACGAAGTGCTCTGCCGTTCCATTTATGCATGCTGCGTTACCGCCAACAGGCCTCACGACCACAGAGCACGATTGAAATTTTCGCCACCCTGATGGCCGATCAGAGACACTGCAGTACCCGCATTAATCAAAAAGCGTTCTATCGTCCAGTCTACTTTTATCATCGTTTTAATCACCCCTTATTCAGTGCCCTGACAAGGCATCTTTCAAATCATAAGGAAAAGATGATTGAAGGCGTACATTTGATACAAGTGGCACAGCACACCACACCCAGCATCATCGCTTCCAGTGTCCCGCTTTTCCACAAAGGTAGCAACATCCATTTGATTGTACCTTCGAGCGCTGAACAAGAAGTGCACCGATGTTTTTGGTGAACTGCTACATCATCCGTTCCCGTTTATTTAACCATTCCCTGCCTTCATGTTGTTCCTACTCCAAAGTAGAGATTGGTTCGTCGCTCAGCTCACGGTCACCTGTGAAAGTTCCTTCACTCGCAGTATTCTGGTGGCGTTCCTAATCCCGTTATAACTCCAGATCTTTTGCAGGATACTAACCAGAAACTGGTCGACCGGCAATTGCTGTCTCGATGACTCCTCCAATCCGAAGCGTGCACATTCCAAATAGGCCCGAAAACGAGTGGATCCGTCACTAACCCAAGCCGCCTTTAACCGCAGAACAACATCCCGGCGGTCGTCCGGGCTGTCGAATCCGCTAATCATCGCATCCGTCGCGACGGCTCACTACTACCTGACAAAGCCCTTTCGCATCGCCACCAGGGCTGCCTTCGCCCCGCCTTTGAAGAAACTTCGCATTGCCTCGAAGTACTCCAGACAGTTTTGCACATCCGCTTATTCAACAGCTCCGACCCGGGGATCCGCATATCTTTTCTTGGCTGGTCACGATGCAAATTGCGAGAACCCAGAAGGTGTGAGTATTCACCGTATGCATTTTGTATGACCACCAACATTTCGACTCGTCTGCGAACATCTTCTTGGACGTCGTGTGCGGTACAGTTGTTTGAAGCCTTATCAAGCGCTGCTTCCGGTATTTACTTCCAGCTCACATCAACCTGCAACCCTTAGGCGCTCTCGTCCGTTTTTGCCTCGTTACCGTCCGGTTCGCTTATACATTTGTACTACTGACTCCTGATGCAGTAATATCTAGCTTCTCTCAACACAGGGTTTAGAGTCTGGTTTTCTCGCACCAGTCTTCGCACGATAAATGCTAAAAATTCGGGACGCGTCTAGTAGTGACGTTTCGAACCTATTCGATTTTTTGTGCTTTGCCTCTGCTGATCTGACAGTAAGTGGGAAACCTTACTCTAGCATTGGCCTTGTGATGGAGAGCAGGCGAGCGGATTCCAGTCTAGACTAGATGTGAAAGTTGTGTTTGAGCGCCCAAGGCATGCTCAACGTGAGCAAGTGCATGATACTTTGTATAGGCATCAGCACACCTCCACCTAAAGGCTCGGAAGGCATGTACTGCAGCGCTCCTCTTTTGCATGTGACCTGGGCGTACCGGTTCAGGTCACCTGGGTTGTTCCAAGCAATCCGGAAAGGCATCGAAATCTGGTAGCCAACACGTTAGGCTGTTGAAACGGTCTTTCTGCCAGACAGACAAATGCGGTTAGATTCGTCGTCCTATTGAACACGCAATTCAGAGATCACAGCCATGGCAAAAATATAATATCACTGATCAGTAACAGTCTTAACTTCGGGCTTCCAAGTAAGCCACTAGAATGCATAGGCTACCATACAACCGTAGGCTGAAACGCTTGGGAATATTCAGTGGACACTAGCTACGAATACCGACGGATCTAATGCTGACAAATCATCTATGCCACTCCTTAATGTAGCTCAGCAGCAAAATGAAGCTGAGAGGAAATTCCTTAATACTGGTGGAACAGTCTAGCCACCTGTAATGCAGCGGAAATTTTCATCGTTTTCACGTATGTCATCCCGTGATTGTACTCTTCGATTCGGAAGTTTTGCATCGAAACTAACCGTGTTTAGCAGCCGTTTGGATGACGCTCTCATCTACTTACAACCTGCCATTTAGAATTATCACTCGTTTCCACTCTTGGGAATAGCCTTGAATTTACCAGCTGTCGCCTATCGGAGTTGTGTAACGAGGAGGTGAATGTAACTACTGCATCCCAGACATGCAACAATATAAGTCCCGCCTTTGCCAGTAAAAGTATTAACTGTGTTCCTTATCGATGACTGCACCAGACCCTCCAATGAAATTAGTAAATCAATGCACCTTAACCCGTATAAAGTCACCATTCGTTGTTTAATACTCCAGCAGTCACCAAAGTTAGTGGAAACGCTTATTGAAACGAACCGGCGCACGACCTAATTTGAGCAAAAACCCAGATAATTGATTTACTGACATTTAAAATATTAAGGAAACCGAATTTACTGCAGTAAATTGCTGTGTAAACATGCAGCACGCTTGCTAGGGAATAATACAAACGCTTAAGGCTAACGCAACTGCCGTCAATATTCGTTAAAGAAGCCACTCTGAGCAAACTGACCAGGAATGGAAAAATGACGAGTTGAAAATCCCATTGAGAGTAAAGTAATATGTTTGTCGCAGGAATCGCTGGTGGCCTTGGGTGTACTGTGAGCGAACTAGCAAAAAAGGACACGGTAGATTAAAATTCTTGATAAACGAATGAAGAAGTAACAGTTTGAAAAAGCTTCTGCTTGGGAAACAAGAAACGAGAAATCTCATAACCGAGAACCGAAGTATTTGGTCTTACCTGACTATTCTGCACGCTCTGCAAATGTTTCAGAAGTACAAACGATAATTACGTTTTAAACAGTGGTACTGCTCATCAGACGGGTTGTTTAGCTTATATATGCTATTTGGCGGTTAACTGAGAAACAGCGTGGTATTTGACCCTTGAAATTTGGCAGTCTTCAGCATGGTCACATTCCGTGTTCAGATTTCTGCTTGGGAATGAGTGATCCACAGCTGCCCTTAAGGACTCGACGCCTCTAAAGCACAGAATGCATCTGAAAAGAACGCCCTAACAGACCTCCTTAGCTGCGAAATCGTGATACAGGTAATGTAGGTAATAAACTTTAATGGGAAACGGATCAAGTTGCTCAACTTTGGGTATCTATTAGAATCGGAACAGGGTTTTGGCTTGAGTGACAACTTAATATGATCTTGCAATGTTAGTGATGAGCTACTTGTTCACACCACAGTACAATCGTGAAATTGCCACGGTCCCGTGTTTGTACACATCATCATTACTCATTTGGGTGAGTGGATTCGTCGTCTTCCGTTTATTGTGCAATATGTGTGTTCTATATGCTAAAACATATCGGTACCGATTGCTATGACTCATCTGTTTATGGGGAACCAACGGCTTTTCATCCGTGCATGCGGAGGATGCGCTGGTTATATTAATTGTCACATGTAGTACAGGTGCTCCGATTCCAGTTGGCTAGGTGTACAATGTGAGCCGGATTAAAACGAATGACTGTGGGCTAACCGATAACTGAGACTTGGATTAGCAAGATACGCTGGGCTCAGTTACACAGTTCACAGATGCTGATTAGCTGGCTAACCCATTTAATAATGTTACCCAAATCACTAGATGTAAGATTCTCTGACTTCTGACCTGTGATGACCATACAGGGTTGTAAGCACGAGAACAGAATTATGGTAAAAGGTATAAAGGGTTCAGCCACCGCATTTTATCCAACTAGTGTGCACTTCTTTTTACATCTTTACAGTATGGAGCGACTGATGAGTACGATCCCAGCAGCATTGGATATGCGAGTACGTTGAGATGCGATTCAAATCCAAGGCAATAGTTTTCACGCTCACTTGGACCTCGGTCTTATTTGTTTAGCTGCACCCAGAGGAGGACATGTGTACGAGAATGTAGGGGTGATAACACAAAAGCCACCCTAGGTACAACATATGAAACACGCTAGAGACCCTGGCTCCATAAGTTTGTCAACGATGAGTACCCGACAGAGCGATACGAATAGAGCACCTACCCCCGACGCCTAGTGAGCAGAAATCCTGTGAATCGTCGCACAATGCGAGCATTCTGCTATTGTGAAATTAAATGACGCCAACAAGTGAGAACATGGAACGAAATAAAGCTCTCGCTTTCATCCGAAAATCCTAAGTACTCCAATAACTGCTAGTTGTTGTCGGCCGCTTCAATGAGTTCTCCAACGCCCCGCCTTGAAAGACAACGTAAATTGTGATGGACGCGATTTTTGCTTGCCACGGTTAACCTCAGTTTAATTTAGCCTATCAGCCATAGTCCGCGCATCGAAACGTAGTGGATAGAGTTGCTTTAACTCGTGCTTAATAACTACTAGAAATCGTTTGAGTAACAACGATGGGTATCAACCAATAGGAATGAATGAAGGTTAAAACTGTTACCTGAAGTGGTTCACGGTTGGAAATAAGAGAACAAATGCGCCATAGTTATTGGGGTATCTAACCGCTAACCAGGAGGAGGATAAGCTCAAGCCCTGATAGCCTTCTGGTGCATTGCATCGTACCTTTCATCATACCGCTGACTGTCCACCTCGAGTTTTAACTAAATAGACAAACAGTGTATTCCTCGACAGGGGGACTCACGGTCCAACTGAGTGTTCTGGTCGAGTTGTATCCATGCAATTCACGTAGGAAGTTTGGAGTGATTTATAATCCTAGTGTATCAGAAAATTGGGAAGATGACGATAAAAACAAATGTGGTCATGCAACGGACCGTCTCCAAGGGGCTTAAGTACCTGCAGCATATTCCCTCGAAAGGTTTCACCCGCACATATGCCAAAGTAACCGGACTGTAAATATACGTAAGCGCTTCGGATTCGCAAGGAAGTCTTATAGGGCACCATACGGTCCATTGCCAAACACGAACTAACGCACTTTATGTCAGTCTTCCAGTTATCCTTACTATACCATTTTACACGCATGTTAGTGCATTGTACCAAGCTAATAACGTGACACATTTTCGAAATCGCGTGCAGTGCTTTCAAGTTAGTGAGGCTAAGAACGCTGTTTTGGCGTCGTTGACACTCTCATTGGTCATGGGACGTTAGCCAATGGGACACCGGTTGAAAGCCCCGAGCATAAGCGACAGACAGTCCAATGAAAGTGGTTGTGCACCACCTTCTGTTCTATCTTGATGCCCATCTGAAATAAACCTCGATGATTGGTCTCCAAACTCTAACCGTCCAATGGGTAACTTTGATGCCTGTCTAAGGACGAGATCGTAGCTACCACATGATCCGAAGCTTACGCCGTAACCAGTGCGGACAGACATACTAACGAGCACATGAATCGGTCTATACTTAGTGGTCGCTAGCGGCTACCTGGTGGTGGCTGATTCAGCGGCCTAACCATGGTGGCTTAGAAAGGCAATTTTCGTACTGGTATTCCGCAGTCCCTGAGGTTTGAGGGAGTGAGGCAGGCCTGCATTTGCGGTTGGTCAGGCATGCGCCGTGGCTTGGACACTGCACACCCACACCTGAATAAGCAGTGGCTGCTAGGCGGTTAGCCAATATTTTTGCGAATGTTATTGCGGCGACCATGGGGGACATTGTTCCCATTGAAGTTGGTAGACAAACCTGAAACTGAACAATGAAAGTTCTATGGGTGTTTACTTCTATCACAGTAGATGAGTAAACACAAACTAAGAGGATTCCAAGTGTGGCATTGACACGACGTTAGTGCTTGTTAGTTTGTCTCCACACCCATGGGCGACTGGGTTGATCAGTTATGGCTTCAGTGTCTCCATGTATGGCGTTATTCAAAGGTTATAGGAACCTGTGTATTCAGAGGATAATTAGGCTTTACTTCCATATGGTCGCTCATACGTGTTGAGACGCTTTGACAAGTGGCTCTCCGAATAGCACCATTAGAAGCACAGTCAATGCAGATGGAACCTCCCTATTACGTGCAAGGACTGGAATGCTATCCTCATGAAATTGGCATTACTCAACAAAGAAACACCTAAAGGGGTCACAAAGACTACAGTATTTGTACATGCCACATCGTCCTGCTAAAAACGCAAGGTTGATAATTAGTGGCGACGCACACATTTTACTCTGGTAATTCAGGTGAGTACTTGGAACAGACAAACACTATTGTTTCACCCACGGGCGTTCCTACAATGTGTTTGCAATCATTTACAAAGGCAACCACCCTCACTAATCCTGTTAGGGACCACTGTTTCAGCTAGTCTTAGAAACATTCATGTGTGCACGCCGTGACACACGTCGTTGTCGACTTGGCAACTACTCGGAAACATTTTGTCATTGGAAAGTAGGTAATTCCGTAGGCATTGTTGAAAGAGGAAAATTGCTCCAAATCCTGTGCTTACAATGCGTATGCAATGCTCGTTGGCAGATCACATCAGGTCCGTAGGGTCACTTGGTATTTCAAGCTTATCAATCACTTGGAAGTGAAGTGTAAATATCATGTTGAAACGCAGGATTGACATGCATCCTAGGACTCTTAAATAATGGCAAATCCATGGGTCCTGAAGCGGCAACCGATTACCGATGTGGCCCACCTGTGCGGAGACACACCAAGGGTTACTAATATTGTGTCACCGCCGCACTGGGAGCCCTGCTAGTTAGAACAATGGCTACAGATCCACTGATGCTCTTACCTACACAGCGAACCTAACCTTGGTATACAATTCGCCGACTACATCAGCAGTACGTAGCTACACTATTCACATGAGTGTACGGCCAACTGAAACAACACAGCACAGGAACCTTGTAGCTGTAAATGCTTCAAGATTTCTATTTGCGAACAAGTACTAGCTTTACCTCCTTCTTACGAGGTACTACATTGTTTCTTATTACCTCACACTGCCTTAACAATCATATGTATTTCCTAAACGAAATGGCATACGGATCGATTCTCCAGATTGCTCGCAGTGGCACAATTACACTGCATACCACATCACGTGTGGCCAGAAAGGCAAGCGAGTAAGGGTTGCAGCCGTACACTCCACCCATAAGCCCTCAACGGTTTTCTTCCAACAACCTGCAAGGGTTGCAGCCTCAACAAAAACTACCAATCCGCTTCTTATCACCACTCACTTAGATGTCATCTCGCTCGCGTGGTAGTGAAACCTCCTTACGCCAGATTGGCAGCATGACCAATCACGTGTTTTGTCTCTGGTTGACTGATAACCCTCGCCACCATAGAAGTGTGCTGGTACACCGATTGCGATCAACAGATAGGCGACCGGCAAACGGAGCCAATTGTGCAGCGAACCCGCAAGCCTACTACCAGCCTCCAGGTAGTTTTAAGCAAGACAATCGTTCCAAAATATGCACTTGTTTAACACTACCAACACATTCTGTGCTGCACCAATGCGCGCCTGAAGGGAAGCCGAGGCGGTCTCTCTGAAGTCAGACCGTCCAATCGGCATGACCGAAAGCGTCCATACGACTGCACGCGCGCACAGCGTCACACTTGTTGGTCTTCCCTTTGGTGTGGCCGCAGACTCGACCCCCAAGTGCATCGCGTGATACGCAGCGGACCAACGTGGTCCAGAGCACACGAGAAGTTTACTAGGCTACGAAGGCGAACGAACGGGTAAACTACCAACCGAAGCGATCGATAGTACTGATTCACCAGCGGTTTCCTTTTCGTGTCGAGGACGCAAATCATCTTGAAGCGTGCGGTGCTATACGATAGCCCAAGCAATAGTGCTTTCCTATCAGCTGGACTCGATTCAGCGAAAGATGAATGGACTCTAAGTTTGATTCTCGGGGACTAAAC